GAGGATCCCCTTATCAGGAAAAATTCAGACTTATCTTGCTGTTTTTGTGTTTGTTCGGCGTTCAAGTCGTTGCCTTTTGCGTGTTTGTCTATGGAAGGACCGGTCATACATTCTGCTATGCCGCGTTGACTCACGGGCTTGACCTTCTTACGGCCCCTCATATCTATTTTATGATAGATAATACTAAGTTCTGCACACTACGGAGCAATCTGGCAGCAATGGACGTTTTTGGCTGAAGGAATGAAAATGTACGGATCGGCCTCACTTTGTTCCTTATTTCCAAAGGCCAAAAAGGCCTCTTTATTCCTTAAAAGTAATATATTACTTAAAAAAAAAACACTGGTGCCAGGGTCTAATAACTGTATGGAAATTTATTTGATAAAAGCTGAGGAAAGAGTGTCTGGTAACCTAATGATGAAGTTTATAGCTTCAAAACTGTGCAAACCTGCCTTTTGGGGGAAATTTCTGCACCCTGCCGTATGGCTGCCATATCCATGATGAAGAATAGAGTTGAACTTCTGCAACGGGTACAACGGAAGGACCCGTGGTACCCGTGGCGTTTGCCGACCTCTGGACATGGGAGTAAGTGCGTGTTATAAATACATTTTTTAGGTAGTCCGCCATATGTGTCTGCCAATTGGAGGTAATAACTCTGCCACCCTGCAATCCTTACCACAAGGCCGAAAGCCCCGCAAGCTGTGGTCACGCTACTCGAAAGTCAACCCAAACTCACAACGGAAGATGACGACCAGCAGCTTCTTACAAGGTGCCGAACTGCACTAGTTATCTTTTCTTAAGAGGAGTAGGATATAGTGAGCGTGACCAAAGAGAAAAGGAACCAAACCCTAGCTGGTAAGAGGTAACTCTAGGGTAACGAATTTCAAAGTGTAGACTAAACATGTTCCGCACATTGTAGGTGCCAAATTAGGCCCTCAATCGGCCAGTCCCATCCAGTTTCCAGTCCCCGTGAAATAGCCAACGGCTGCGGGACATGCACGGCCGTCCCCCCGGCTGCACGTTCCTCCCCGCACTGTCGCCACCTGCCATCTGCATAGGTACCCTTGACCAGGCAGTCCAGTATTTATTGTGCAGGTTCAGCAGGGTGTTGTTAATTTGTACTCGCGTACTCATGTTCAATTCGTCACTTGCTTCATCTCTGTCGGCAGCATGAGTATAATAAGCAGATGAATCTCCTAGTCCCCTAATGTACGCTCGGCTGAATCGAGCAAAGTTAAAGTGTGTGCTGTGGCCCAGAGAGGAAGGGAGAGCGAGGGAGATCCAAGGGAGACCAAGGGTGAACCGAAAGGATGTACGCCGAGAGGGGGAATAGGCAGCACTAGCAGCAGCGGTCCGTGCATGGTGCAACACTGGTCCGAACAGTAGCTGTTGAACAGTAGCTAGCACCGTTTTATCACCCCGCCACCACCAACCGTCCATCACCATGTCGTGAAGCCCTCACACACATCCTGCAGCAAGAAAACGTGAATCCACCAAATGCAGGCCTACAGGTCTACAGGTCTCGGTCCAAAGCACACTTCTCCCACACACCACAACCCCACCACCAGCACAATCATAAGTGGCGGTTCCCTGCTGCACGCCCTCGCTGCTTTGGGTCATGGCGCACAGGCAGCCTACACTAGCCAGCAAGACTTCGACGTGTGGACGGAACTGGTGCAGGCGGGTGTGGAGCTGTACCTCCGTAAAGCGCCACGGCACATCGTGGCGTTCAGCAATGCGGACCTGGAGCCCATCTTAGATGCTTTGGCACATCAGGATCTGTGGCGCTTTCAGTACCTGCTGTGGCAGCGTCTGCTGGCCCACATTCCCACCTGGGACTCGATGCAAGTACGTACGGGGGGCTGAAGGGAAGCCCAACCCAGCAAACCCAGACACAACGAGAGAGGGGCGGTGGGGACAAGGTGGCCATGGGCAAAGGAACCCAGCAAGAGAAGCGCAAGGGGACATAGGAGCTGGATGAGGCCGGGCCTGGCAGGACAGCACAGGACATGGGAACGGAACTGAGTGCGTGTTGATGGGCTATGGATATCCAGTCCTAGGAACACCAGGAAGCTCTGCTGGGGGGGTGGAGTTTCCGTCGTGCGTTATAGCTTTGCTTTGCACGGTGTTTTCACCAGTCCACTGCAGCGAGGTGGCAAGGCCAGCGGGAAAAGTTTAGGACCAGACCTAACAGAAACTTAGACTAACGCGCGCCATGTTGAGTGATTACACCTGTGGTCTTTTTGTGTTTTTCGCCACCTGGGTGTTGTGCCACTGCCGTGTCTATCCGTTTCCACGTCTCCTAGGACTTCTGCAGCGTCATTCATGGGTGTGAGCTAGCAGCGCAGGAGGCCACGACGGCTGCTACAGCCGCCGCCGCCGCTGCAGCGGCTGGAGCGGGACTGGGTGGTGGCAGCGTGGGTGTAGCTGGGGATGTACCGGCCGACGGAGTACTTGCCGACATGCCCGGGAGCTGGTCCGCGGACATGCACGGCTCACATGGTGGTTTTGTACCTGACATCGTCACTGCTGGATTCAGCGAGTGCGCACGCATACGTCAGCGTGTTCACGGAGCCCGAGGCCTCGCCGCCTCCACTCTCAAACGTAACTGGATCTACCGTACACGCCTTCACCTCCTCTGCCCCCGCCACCGCCGCCGTCGCTGCCTTACCTGTACCAAGCATAACCGATATGCAACGGTCACTCCCACTCGGCGAGGGGGCTCCCTCAGCCGTATTGACAACCAGCCGCGGGTTGACGGTGGAAGGCAGGCCAGCGGTGCCGCCGCCAGAGCTGCTGGACGCACCGAGCGAGGCACGGGAGGTGGAGGTGGCGGCGGGCTGCACCGTCGCGGCCCATGCGACGCCGGGGCTGCCGCCGCCACCGCCCCGGCCGCCAGGGGTACCACCTCTGGTACTAGGACTAGGGCTAGGGCTCCCCGTCGGGCTTGCCGGCGGAAAGACCGCCGACGCGGAGAGGTCCTGACCGCCGCCTGCACTGCAGCCGCGGCTGCTGGTACTGTGATGGCTACCAGTACTGAGAAGTCGCCGAGGAGACATCGGCGAGACTGATTTCGCGCTAACCACCAGGGCGCCCGCTGGTAAGCCGCTGCCGCCGCTGCTGCTGGTGCTACTGCTGGCGCCGTCACCGCCGCCGACGGTCCTCGGCTTGATGCAACTACCCTCACCACCGCCGCCTTCGCTACTTTTGGGGCCACAACTGCCGCCGCCGCCGCTGCCACTGCCGCCGCCGCGACGAATACCTCCCCGTTCACTGCCCCTGCTGGCGTTTCTGCTAATGCTGTCCCTACGGCCGCCTTCATGTTTATTGCCGTCGCTGTTGCCGCACTCCATAGGCCAACCAGGTAGCATGGCTGTGATAATCTCCCCGCCGCCGCCGCTGCCGCCGCCGCCGGTGCCGCTGCCGCGGGCTCCGTCCTCTTCCTCGGCCGCATCGGCGGCGCCAGCACCATCGCCATCTACGCCCTCGGCGACCGGGCCGGCGACGCCGATCAGTAGCGTCGGCACCGTCAGCCCCCTTGCCGCCCCCGTTGACGTCAGTCGCATCTGGGATCAGATCCTCGCCCCGCTTCGACATTCCGCCCGCCTGAGGTGGCGACTTGAGCTCCTCAGCCATGAGCATTGACGGCGCCGCCGCTGCGCCGCCGCGTCCCGGTGCCATTTCCACCACCGCTGTGGCATGAGGCTGCATCCGCTGGAGCTCCCAGAGGTCAGCATTCGGCTACCGCCAGCAATCCATGCGACAGGGAGGATGCGAACAGCCAATAGGGTTGCCGATTGCTGGAGAAGGGAGAAAGCGGGAGAGGAAAAGGTATACACCAACAACAAAAAGGCAGGGACACGTCATTCGCTAGCAGGTGGGCTAGCGGTCCAGCCTAGCCCAGCCATGCAGGAGTGCAGGGGGCATTTTCATCCTCGCGCCCTGACTTGACCCACCTCAGGCGAGCACGGCACCCCACCCCACCCCACCGCCGCACATACCTTCCGCCACATCCACCGCAGGAAAAAGAGCGGATGCCGTCTCGCCCCGGTCCCGTTATTCAGAACCTGCGGGAACAGCCGCCGCAGCCGCAGCAGGAGCAGGACTGTGAGCATCAGTTGATAAGTGCGCACCGTGTTTTCCCCCATAATTCCCGGCTTCTCATTCCTTACAGGTACACCACCGCCTGTTCACCTGCTCAAAGTACCAGCCCAGCGCTATGAACAGCGGCCACTCCGCCAGCAGAGACACCCACACGCTAAGCATGCCATTGCCGGGGTCGCGCAGGTTGGACCACTTAAGACCCGGGAAGGTGGCGAAGACGGCCCGGGTGGAGTACTCGGAAAACTCGAACAGACCGCGGTACAGCGCAAAGCCGGGCACCAGCTGTACGACAAGCATGTACGACTTGTCCTGCTGCATGAGCGAGCGCAGTAATAGCTCGCCAATGAGGCCCGATGCGAAGATGTACAGAACGGCCACGACGGTTGCCATACGGGAGGAGGAGAAAAAGGAGGAGATCATGAACACGAAGGCGAGCATGTTGTTGCCGAAGATGAAGAACAGCACGGCTTGTATGGCTGCAGCGGGTGGGGGAGGGAGGGGCGGCACATCGCGAGCGCGGGGGTGGGTTACTTCAACAAGTTGTGAGGAAAGAGATGACCCAGAAACGAGTCGGCGACAAAAACTAACAAAAACGCGCACCGGAACTTTTGCTGTTGGCCAATGCCAATGTTTTTTTTGTCGTAACGGCGAAAATGCATGCCCCGCTGAGCATCCTGGCGCCTTCGTCGAGCATTGCGAATGCAATGCTGCTGCTGATGCACGTATATGCGCACCAACGCGCGAGATATAATCCTTAGAGCAGCCGCAACTTACGAACCGCCATCAACCGAATCATTAACGAATTGAACTGCCCTGCAAGGGTCCCGCGGCTGGTTGAAGCAGCAGCTTCTGGAGCTACTCACAAAAGGGCGTGGTGGTGAAGACCTTGAGCCGTATCAACGTCCCGAACACGACGAAGAATACCATGTAGACTATGTACCTGTTAACGGACATGGAGTAACCAAAAACAGGCCAAGTTTAAAGGTCCAAACTAGGACACGAAACCATCGCTCTCGCGGAAGGGTTTCGCCATTATCATTGACTGTCGTTGACTAGTCAGGTGTTTACTTTTTTGAACGTGAGGGGGAAGGGAGTAAACCGGGCGAGGGAGCTAAAGGCGCGGCGCACATACACACGCACACATACACACACACCTCAGCCCACCACCGCAAGGAACCCCCCCTGCTGCCCTCCTCCCCCCTCCCGACCCCGGCCCTGAGCGCCGCCCTCCTGCCCTTCCCCCCCGGCCAGTTAACTACTCACACCATGAGGTACCACAGGTACGTCACCAGCCAGTACGCCCCGTCACCCAGACCGTGCATCTTCATGATCATTCGCAGGCGCTTCTCCTTCTCATACACCAGCTGCTGCAGCAGCGACGGCAACAACATCTGGACCACCCACCTGTGCGCATGGGGCGAGTAGAAAAGAATAAGGCGGTCAACAGCAGCAGCAGCAGCAACAA